GCTGGAAGGGACCTTTGGAGGGCTGTAGTCCAACCCCTTGCCCCAGCAAGACCCAGGTTACTCAGGCTTTCATCCAGTTGGGTCTTGCAGACCCCGAGGGTGGGGATGGCCTGGCTTCAGCGGGTCCCCCTCTGCCTTCCCACCTTGCCACCAGCCCCGCTCACCCCGATGGGTCAGGGCTGGAGGATCCAGCTCAGCTCCCCGCCCCACAGCCCCCAGCCCTGCCGTGCTCGGGGCTGGCTCCCGTGGCCCCCTCTGCCTCCCCCCTGCCTCTTGCTCCCAAATAGAGATGGTGACCCTGCCCCACTGCTGGGTGCGGTGCTGGGGAGTGCTGGGATCCTCACAGAGCCACTTCGGGCTCTCAGACATCCCCTGTACCAGTAGGCAGCACAGGGCAGGGATCTCCTCCCCGCCTTGCCAGGACTTATAGACTCCCCTGGACACACACCAGTGCCCCCCAGTTACCTCCCATTTGCTCCCACTGCTGTCACCTGGCTGGGTGGCCGCAGGCTCGACGTGGACATGGGGAAGCAGTTGCACCACCATCCTCACCTGCCTCCCCCACAGACCCCCTCGCCCGCTCCTGTGCTGTCCCGGCGCTTGCTGGGTCTGCCTCTGCACAGACCCATTGCTGGTCCCCAGCCATTTGCCATGGGTTACTTTTGGTTGCTCCTGGCCACAGCCATGCTGTGGAGCTGGGGTCCGGGTCAGCTTCAAACTCCTCACCGCTGCAGATCTGGTCCCCGTGTCCTCACCCCACCAGAAGCCAGCCCCCGGCCCCGGCACCGAGAGGGGGAACCCCCAGCAGCTCTGGGGCTCTGGAGTGCCTGTGGTGGGGCAGAAGTGCCAACCAACCCATCGAGGGGGCACAGCCCCAGCAGGGCCAGGTCAGCTGTGGTGCCCAGGGACCCGCCCCGGCCCCGTGGGCAAAGGGTCCCGGCCGGACCCTGCCCTGGAGGTGCCAAGCCCTGGCCATGCCATGGCCCCGTCAGGCTGCATGAGGGCACCCGCGGCCGGGAGCCCCAGTGGTGCAGCCAGAGGTGCTGGGTCTGGTGGCACACGGGGACAGGACCTGGAGGGGACTTTGCCCACCGGCTGAGGTTGGCGTCTCTGTCACTTGGTGACAGGGACAACACAGGGCAGAAGAGGAGCTTGGCTCTTTCAGAGCGTATTGAAATCACTGAGTTTATTAGGGATTTGTATCAGCATAAATGGGACCAGTTTGTCCCAGTAACCCTTTGGTTTGGACCAATATCTGTCCCAGTAACCCTCCAACTCCACCTTCCTGCAGGGAAAAAAGCAGCAGGTTAAAGCTGTGGTTCCTGGCCCAGGCGTGGGCTCTTGCCTCAGTTCTCCCAGCACCATCACCCGGTGCCTTGCCGGTCCCAGAGGTGCGTGTTAAAACTGAGAAGCAATTGATGAGCACAGAGCTCCTGCAAATTAGAGAGCAAAGGAAACGCAGGGTCTTTCCTTTGGAAGTAAAACCCCAGGCTTTTCCAGATGGCTGGCAGGAGCGAAAGGCCAAGGAAATTATGGAAGAAAGAAAATTTTAAGAGATATCTATTCTGCTGGAGGCAGATGACAAGGCTCCAAGGAGAGTTGTCCCCACAGCCAGCCGCATGCCATGTTGTCACCCATCTCTGCCTGCACCTTCCTGCCCAGGCTTGGTGGCAGCGAGAGCTGTGGGCAGGCGGCAGCCCCTGCCAAAGCCCAGCCCCGCGTCCCCGGCATGCCGCACCCCCGGCCGCTCACTCTCGGCAAACCTTGGAAAGCCACGGAGCCGGCTGACAGCCTGCCAGGGCACCGCTGACGCTCTAACGGGGCTCCCACCGTGAGCACCGTCGGCTGGGGCCAAGCCCAGCCGTGTGGCGGGGCGCCGGCTGTGGGAATCCCTCCACCGAGAATTAGGGACTGAAATGGCAGCACATGTCGGCCAGCGGGATCGCGGACAGCGGGTCCCGTCGAGCATCACTTCATCTTGCTCGTGCCAAGGTCTCGGGTCTGTGCCCAGAGCACGGGGCTGGAGATCGGATGCCTGGGTTTTGCAAAGCTGCCTGTCTCAGTAGCCCCTGCTTCCATGGGGGAAACCCTCGTGCAGCCCCGAGCAGCTCTGCAGTGCTCGGGGACGCTGGGGACACTAACATGGGACCCCCGCCGGACACAGCCGTCGGCATGACTGGGGTGTCCGTGGGGCATTCTTGGGGCTGGTGGCTGCCAAGGCACATCTCCACCGTGCACCCGCTGTCCTGCAGCCAGCTGGGACGTTCGTGCTTCGAGGGCGACCCTGGAAATCAAACCCCGGAGACATGAGCCTGACCCAATGTGTGTGAGGAGGGATCGGGAGGGAGCTCACCCCGGGGGGATCTGGGGTGACCGGGAAGGGAGGGGGTGTTTCAGCCGTGCACAGCTCTATCCGAGGCCGGGGGCTGCAGCTGAGCTCTGACAAACTCAGCTCTCGCAGCCGGGTGCCGCAGCTGCCTGGCAAGCAGGGAGGTGACGGCTCTTGCCATCAACCCGGGCCTTGCCCCAGCAGCAACCTGACCCCCACGCGGGATTTCCCAGCCCCTCGTCCCCTGTTGCGACCGGACCCCACCATCCACCGTCCTCGCCCTGACCTCTGGTGCTGGAGCTGGGGCAGAAGCAGCGGAGCGTCCTCAACCTCCGGGCTCGCAGGTTGCATTTATTGGCTACGAGGTTCGATGGTCCCGCTGGGATGATGCGGGGATGAAGGCTCCGAGATGCTGCAGGAGGGGCGGGGCGGGGACCGGCGAGGGGGGGGGGGCC